TCAACAGGGAAATAAAAAACTTCGTGGTTTTCAAAATTTGCATATAACTAACTCTTCCTTATAGAGAGACAGCAGTTCAACTTGGTTAATGTTATTCAAAATCTTAGAGAGAGAAAGAAAGCGTACCTCGTTCTCCAATTCCCCTGCGCATCCTCACCTCACTCGTCAAACTGATGACCTAAGACAAAGGCAGAAAGAGAGAAAGATTTAGAGAGAGAGAGATTTTAGAGAGAGAAATAACCAAGAAAAGAACGCAAATAGAAGGATTTAGAGAGAGAGATTAAAAATGCAGATAGAGCGAAAGATTTAGATTGAGAAAGATTTTAGAGAGAGAAAGAACCAAGAAAGGAACACGAGATTTGGGGAGAGAAAGAATTTAGAGAGAGAAAGAACCAAGAAAGGAGAGTAACAATGAAAAAAATAGGAGAGAGGTTTAGAGATAGAGATAGCTCGTATAAGTTGAGAGAGAGTTTTGGAGAGAGAAGGTGATGCCACATCAGTATTATTTTCGTGAAAAAGAAAATATTTATGTATTAATTATGGAGTATTTTTTGGGATAAAATCGTGATTCCTTGGTTTATCTAGAATGGGTGTGTTTCTTGCATTCTTAAACAATCCAATTAAGGCGCACCGCCAAATTTTATCATAACTTGTAATTTTGGTTTAAAAAATTTTTAAGATTATCTGAAAATCTATTTTCACATTTAATTGTAAAACTTTAAATTCCATAAATGATTAAAATCATGTAGATCTATAAACATATGAAAATCTTAAAATGGACAGGCTAGATAATGTGTTGCAAGACGCACGATTTTAAGACTCAAAATCTGTTTTTTTTTTCATAATCGCTCATGTCGAGATTATCAATTAGAAGGTTTTTCAAAATTAAAACAAACTTTTTCCGTTGGATATCTTACTATCTTAACGATTCTCATGAGCGTATTCAAGCAACCCAATTGAAGAAGCAAATTTGTACAATAAGCAAATTAAAGTCGCAAACTTCCTCGGTTTCAACATATTCATATTTTTACCACAAAACAATGGAGAAAAAAAAAAAAAGCTTCTAAATTAAAAAAATGATCAAATTATGTGAGTCTCACTTCTATCAAAAAATAAATAAAAATAAAAAACAAGGTAAAAAAAAGAAGAGAATAAACTAAAACATCTCAAGGTTCTAATGGAAAATTCAACGAAAAATTCAAGAAATATGGACCATGGAGTAGAAACAAATGGATGTGAAAAACAAATCTAAAAGAACCAAGCATGGACTTCATCAAAACTTTTAAGGCTTTCAACTGAATAAAAATGCAAAAAATTAAAAGCAAGAAAACCATGTGAAGTTTCAAACGAAAGAATTGACAAAGATGATAGTGGGGTACATTCAAGAAATTCAATTGTATTCTTTCAGATTTACCACAACGATTCAACCAAGAAATTCAAAGAAATAGACTATAATTATTCTTTTTCAATTTAAAGAAAACAGTAGAACCGTGGGGTACATTCAAGAAATTCAAATGTATTCTCTCAGATTTACCGCAAGAATTCAACCAAGAACTTCAAAGAAATAGATTATAATTATTGTTTTCAATTTCAAGAAAACAGTAGAACCACAAGACCGATTATGATGAAAAGTGAATAAATAGAAACCCACAAGACTGATTAGAAGGTGATGAACTCAATTAAGAAAAACAAAATTAAGATGAAAAAGAACCAAAGAGAACTCACCTTTGAAGCAAGAAACTCTTCGTATGTCTGCACGTCTCTCTCTAAATTCTAGTACGATTTTTTATGAGAAAAAGAACGAAAAAGACGTCTCTTTAGATATAGATTTGGTTGATCGTATCTGATATGGGTTGGACTTGTATTTTAGGGTTTAGAGAGAGAAAGTGATGCTGCCTTCTAAAATTTCGACCTCAACTTTTGATCTTCGGGGGCATCTCACCCATGTTTTTGTGGTTGATGAGCTCCTTTTGATGACGTGTTAAGGATATATGGAACAGATCGGCAAAGTTAGCGAGAGAGATCGAGCGAGAGTGACTATCGTGAAGCCCTTAGAGACAAAAAGTGGTATATTTTCTAGACTCTACCCAAGATGAAGGGTGAACGGCAGAGATTTGGTTCCCATAAATGTGTTAGGAAATATATATTTATGATGAGAATAAGAGTTGATGAAGCATATATATAAATCTTTAACCACGGTCAATCATCTCCCATCGATTAGTATCATATGATAAGCTCATATCTTGGTTTGAATTTGATAGCCCTTCATGTACTTCCCACGACAAGCTCTGTCCCATTTTAAACTTTATTATATCCAATTGTTCAAATTCGAACATGCAAGCAAAGATCCATCACGATTTCCCATGCGAGAATGTCGTAAATTTCATTGTTGTGAAAATAATTTTTTCGGCCATTGTAAGGGTTTCTAACACCAAAACTCTATCTTCTAACACAATTTAGCAATTTAGAGATGCGCTTTACTTAGTTTATAGTTGACACCTTATATAAATAGTTTATGGTTGACACCTTATATAAACTGCAAACTTTTATTCTCAAAAATTTGAAATGGCTACATATCTCAATGTAAAAATCAAATCATAATTGCATAAAGCACATCTTCTCCCTGTTATGCATGGCCTAACTAAGTACCATATTTTGTCAAACATTGCAAATATAGAGCACATCTTCTCCCTGTTATGCATGACCTAACTAAGTACCATATTTTGTCAAACATTGCAAATATAATATTTTAAAGGACCGTGTTTATCATAATTTGTATTTTATAATTGAAAAAAGTTTATGAAGTTGCAACCTTAAAATGTAGAATTAAAGATGCACCTCAAAAATCTATTGGAAAAAATTGTTTTGATGTTGAAAAACTCTCTAATTGATCATCTCGACATCTAGATGTATGAATACAATTATTTTTTTTTGAATCCCAAAAATAATACATCTTGCAATACATTATCTATTTTATCTATTTTCAAGATTTTCATACATTTATAGATTTAATTGATTTTAACCATTTTTGGAGTATAAAATTTTATAATTAAATATGTAAATAGAGTTATAATCCGAACGATTTTTACACCAAAATTATATGTTATGTTAAAATTTGAAGGTGCCCCTTAATTGGATTATTTAAGGTTGCAATCTTATAGAAACCACACACTCTATAATTTGTATTTCTAGGCAGTAGAGTACTTTTTTTTTTCTAGTTCAGTAGATGGGGTTCGCTAATCGTGATAATAATGAAACTTAAGAAATCATATTGTAGCACCACTAAGACAACTTAGCCTTGAGTCCATTCCTGACACAGTAAGAGAAAGTTAAAAAAAGTACCAAAGAGAGAATTAAGATAAATAAGCAATCTTTTTGGTTTACCAATCTTTGGTTTGCCATGTGTTTTTTGGTATGCTTTTTATGGTTTTTTTTTTTGGTATGCCTGGTTTTATTGTAAAAAAAATCTTTGGTATGCCATGTTTTTTTTTGGTATGCTTTAAGTTCACAAAGAGAGAATTAAGGTAAATAAGCAACCTTTTTGGTTTACCAATCTTTGGTATGCCATGTTTTTTTGGGATGCTTTTTATGGTTTTTTTTCTTTTGGTAGGCCTGGTTTTTTTTGTACAAAAAATCTTTGGTATGCCATGTTTGTTTTGGTATGCTTTTTACAAAAAGAAATCTTTGGTATGCCATGTTTTTTAGTATGCTTCTTACAAAAAAACCTTTGGTATGCCATGTTTTTTTTGGCATGCTTTTTACAAAAAAAATTCTTTGGTATGCCATGTTTTTTTTTGTTTGCTTTTTACAAAAGAAATCTTTGGTATGCCATGTTTTTAGGTATGCTTTTTACAAAAAAATCTTTGGTATGCCATGTTATTTTTGGTATGCTTTTTACAAAAAAAATTCTTTGGTATGCCATGTTTTTTTGGGTATGCTTTTTAGCAAAAGAAAATCTCTCGTATGTCCGGACCTGAACCCAGGTCTCTCGGGTGAGAATCGAGAATCCTAACCAACTAAACTACAACGGATTGTATGTAATGGATTACTACCCATTTATATTATCAAAGAAATTCTATGGTTATTTGTCTTGTATAGCTAGAGACAAACGAATAAGGAACCTTTTCCATAACAAATCTTTCTAATGTTATATGGACTACGAACTTAGGCTTTTACCATAAAGCTTATGAGGATATAAATCCTTCGTGATCGGAGATTCGAAAATCACAACAGAAAAAAAAAGGCCACTGAAATGATTGGAGATAATTTAGATCTTGATGCGGTAAAAATCGGCTTGATTAGGATTAGATTAACAATATAACTAATGAGGAGTCTGGGCCAGACTGACCTAGGCACCGGTCAGAGCTGTCAGTGCAATTGTCTTGATAACTATGGCAAAGATAGGAATTGGGCTGGCAATGGTGATGGCCCAGATTACAAAATGAGGCCCGCGGGCCTTGTCTGGGCTCTCGGCTTGCCCTGACATTTTTTTTCCCTTTTTTTGTTTTCTTTCCCTTTCAATGTGTTAGATCGACCTAGAGCTAGGGCTGCTTAATCTCGAGTCGGGCGCGGGCGTGCCATATAGGGATAATTGCAGGGCTAGGGCTTGGGTGGGGCCGGCTGTTAACCCTACAAACGAAAGGGAGTATTTAAGAGAGGGAAAGATAGAGAATGAACGGTTAAGGAAGAGACAATGTGATGGTCAACGAATTATTTAGATTTAGATTTGAGGAGAGAGAAATAACGAAAGAAGGCGTATTAAGAACAAAATCTAGGTAGGAAAAGAGAAAAAAAATACAAGAACAAAAAGTTTTAGGAGAAACCACACCTGCCGTGCAACCACGTCCCAACCAGGGTCATGCGATCCACCCACCTACACTTTAATTGCACATTAACAAGATTTGACTTAGTTTTCCATGACAAAACTTTTATCAACTTCCCCACCCCATGAGAGGCCTTTCTATGGCAATATAAGCCCCACAGTATCAAAGTAAAAGGCCATGGCCATGGCAATGGCAGGACCTTCTCTGCTCATTATCCTGGGATGCCTGCTGTTTTCCGTTCTCCCTTCACAATCTCTCCATCTGCAGAATGTGTCACAGCATGCTGTCTCTAATGGATACTACTATGGGAACCCTACTAAACCCCAATCACTTCTCAATGAGATCGACAGTTGCTAGCGTGCTGACCCTAATTGGGCTATCCTCCGTCGAGCCCTTGCTGACTGCAGCATAGGCTTCGGTAGTGGCACATTTGGAGGCCGCAATGGCCGTATATATACTGTGACCAACCCCTCTGATGACCCTGTCAACCCCAAGCCCGGCACGCTGCGCTACGGTGTCATCCAAACTGAACCTTTGTGGATAATATTTGGTCATGACATGGTCATCACACTTGAGAATGAGCTCATCGTGAACAGTAATAAGACCATTGATGGGCGTGGAGCAAGCGTCGACATTGCATATGGTCCCTGCATCACCATCCAAGGTGTTAGCCATGTGATCATCCTTGGCTTTAGGTTGCATCACTGTAAACCTGGCACCCAAGGGCTCGTGCGTAGCACTCCAACGCATGTGGGTCACAGAGGTGGCTCCGACGGTGATGCAATAGCCGTGTTTGCTTCATCCCATGTTTGGATCGATCACTGCTCTCTTTCTCACGCATACGATGGCCTCATCGACGTTATCCATGCTTCCACTTCCATCACCATATCAAATTGCTACTTCTCCGATCATGACAAGGTCTTGACTCTAGGTAACCTTTCTTATTCTTAATTTTATGCAACAATTAGGCGATGGTAGGCACATATCTGGTTGAAAATGAAGAAATATTTATGGTACCTCTTTCGAAATGAAAAGGCCCCGTTATAGTTTTTGAAACCTATATAATAAGACCATTTAGTTTCGGAAAAAGTTTATATAAGGATGCAACCTTGTAACGAAGAACTACGGATGCACCTAAAAAATGCATCGAAAAATGTAGTTTTAATATTGAAAAACCCTTTGATTGATCATCTCAACATCGAGATGTATGACCATGAAAAATAAAAAGATTTTAAGTCTCAGAAATAGGGCATTTTACAACATATTATATACACCGTCCATTTTCAAGATTTTTATATGTTTATAGATCTACTTAATTTTAACAATTTTTTATATTTAAAATTTTATAATTAGATGTAAAAATATATCTTGAGATAATCCTAAGAATATTTTACATCAAATTATATACCATGATAAAATTTGAACATGCACCTTACCTCTACAGCTACGGATGCATCCGTATGCCAACTGCACCCTTTAGTTTTTGTTAGAAGGAAGCTGCAATCACTATAGGTAAAATTGGATGGTTGGGAGCACATCATTGAGTGGGCCCAACGTCCACGATAAGATTTATTGAGCTATATGAAATACTTTAAGCTATCAGATTATCAACCCATGGTTAATGGTGATTGTGGCTTCCTCGTACTAAAAAAAAAGTAATGGTCATATTATGTACAATATGGATAGTATTTGAGGTAGACATCACTGCTTCAATGCATATTTTAGAAAGATAAGAATACTTTTGTTTGTTGCACCATTTTGATATACCCTATGGGAAATTTATAGGGCTGGCAAAGGATTGGGCCTAGGCCCTAGTCCCACATTGATCCCCATAGGACTGCCTCGACCCTAACATGGCCAAATAGGCCTTGGCCAAGGCCTGCGCCTGATCCTATCTGGGCTAGGCCAAATGGAAAAAAAATTGTAAAATAAAAGAAAATTATAAAGAAACCAGCCTTATTTTGGCCCTAGCTCAGTCCCTAATGTTTTAGGACCAGGTTGACACCAAGCCTAGCCACCCGGCCCTAACATTACCAAAAAGTTCCTGGCCAAGGCTTGGCCAAAACCTTATCCAGGCCAGGCCAAATGGAAAATGAAAATAAACAAGAAAATTTAAAGATAAAGGGCCGGGCTAGGCTAAACAGAGCAAGTCTCATCTTAGCCCTGGCCTAGTCCAAGCTCAACCTGGCTCTCAAGCGATATTTTGGGGCCCAGTCCCTAATTTTTTAGGGCCAGGCTTCTCTGAGGCTTGCCACCTAGCCCATTGCCAACCGTAAAAATACAGTGAATTATTTTGACTCTCTTTATTAATCATGCAAGAGACCAAGAAAACCATTTTTTTTATTTTTGCCAGTGAGGCAACTACTTTGTATTCTTAAAGGAAAATGTTTTTACGCGGGTTGGACAACAGTTCTCCAATATGTGGTCCAAAGGTCTAAAGCATCCATCTTAAAGATGGATGCAAATAGGTGGTCCATCTAAAATCAAGTGTAACTAACGGTCAAATTTTCTTCTTAATATAATTATTAATTCTAGTTTTTGAAAAAAAAAATCATATTCATGATCTCTAAAAAATTATAGATTCTCTAAAAATTAGGATTAAATTATACTTAAAAATATATTTATTGCCAAACCCGCATTTCTACAATATGCGGGCTGGCTGCATAGAAAATTTGCTCATTTAAGAATAATATGGATTTATTAGCTACTTGGGCACTCAGTACATGGTCGAATATTTCAGCATATTGTGAAAAATCTTAATTGCGTGAGTCGTGATTTTTGCAGGTGATGCTATTCGGTCATGATGATTCTTTCAAGGCCGATAAATAGATGAAAGTAACGGTCGTATTCAATCGCTTGGGCGCTAATTTGGTGCAAAGGATGCCCAGGTAATTGTTAACTTTGTTGAGGGGCGAATGCCTTGTGAATATGCCTTAAGCTCAAACATTATGATGCATGGGGTCTTTACCTCATAAAAAAAGAATATTGACATCATCCATTCATATTAAAAGTACGTACAAAAAGGTTGCTCACAGTTCTCTCTTTAATGGTTTGCAACATAGTTTTTTTTTTTTTTTTTTTTGACAAATATGGTTTGCAGCATAGTTATAAAGATTGGACACGCAATTTGCCCGGTCAAACAACCAATTTGTTCATTGCCCAAACAGCCAATTTGTTCCTGGCCCACTTTGGTCCATGATAAGAATTGAGTTCAGTCATTAACTAGTTAAAATTAAAATTTAATTAATTTTAGCTCATCGAACCGATCAGTTAGACCGGCTAAACAAAATTATTTATCTTATTGATATATTCAACATTTTAAAGGGGAAAGTTTAAATAAGGTTGCAACCTTAAATGTAGAATTACAGATGCACCTCAAAAATCCCTCAAAAAAGGTTGTTTTAATGTTGGAAAAACTTCTAATTGATCATCTCGACATCGAGATGTATAAATATGAAAAAAAAAAAAAACAATTTTGAGCCTTAAGAATAGTGCATCGAGACTGTCCATTTTCAATATTTTCATATGTTTATAGGTCTACTTGATTTTAACCATTTTTGGAGTTTAAAATTTTAGAATTAGATATGAAAATAGATTTTGAGATGATATTAAGAGTTGTTTTACCAAAATTACATGTTATGATAAAATTTAGAGGTGCTCCTGAATTGCATTGTTTAAGATTGCAACCTTATAGAAACCACACCCTATTTTAAATTATTATTCTTATTTTTTAAAATTTTTAGGGGACTAAGTACTGTAAGAACACTTACCTTTCTTACAATGTTAAAATCACCCCTAGCCGTCATATGTAAAACATTATCGTTGGGGGTGTATTACATAGGTCTTATAAATCCTTTTTGAGAATTTGAAACCGATGGCACATCTATGGCCATCCAATTCCACATCCAATAGTCGGGTGTGATT